TTACAACCAACCACGGCAAAAGAGATCGGGGGCTCATCCACCACACATCATGAGATTTTGAGAAAGCGAAGAAGAAAGGGCCAACATCGCAACCACGTTACGAAAAATAAAACGCCGAACTTGAAAGTTTTGAAACACTTCATGGCTCTCACTAAACAAATGTATCTCGTGAAAATAATCAACCCACCGTTGATTAGTCGCCTCTTACGACATGCAGTGTCTCTGCAGTAGGGTTATTCTTTCCCGCCCCTACACGGGTACATGCCGAACAAATACGAATATCAGAAGAATGAATAATGGATACAACTAATGAATTTTACACGTTTTGATAGTTAAATACCTAACGCCGTCGCTGTTTATTTCCATTTTTTGCCTTCTCAATTGTGCCAAATTCCTCAAAAATTGTAATTTTTACAATTATTTTTAATTGGCCCGTTTATTTATTGATTGACTTGAGCAATAAAAATAATAAGCACTCTTGGATAAGGCGTGTGCTTAGTTCGTTAAAAAAATCATATCTCTATAACGAAGCACCTTGTATTTAGACTGCACAAAATTTAAATTTGTCCCGATCAAATAACCACATTAAAATGTATAGCCAAGGAACTATTTTTAACGCATTTTCCAACTCATGCTGAAAGGTGCTATTCTAGCCACTTTGGCCGTCCGCCCGTCCGTCCGAGGCCTTAACTACTACAGTTTTCAATATAGTTAATTCGTTCTTATTGAATTCGGTAGCAAAAAACAAGAGTTTTCGGAAAATTGCTCACTTTCAAGAGCCCTTAGCTGGAAAACGATGCGATGTTTGGGAAAAAAAGAATAAAAACAAAGTTGTAGACAATTTTTCGGGATATGGACCAAAACCTGTAAAACTGTACCATTAACCCCTTCCCCACCATGGTTAAGTTTCTGGTTATTTTTAATCTTGGGTACTGATAATCTGGCACCGAGAAACCTTTTGGTTGAAAGTTTTAAGTAAACCAAAAAATTTGCTTTAACTCGCGACTGATAAACCGGGCCTAAGACACCCTAATCTAGATAAACAGAGGAGGGAACACACGGACAGAGAAAGTCAGTGCTCGGAGACGAATCCAACCAATCAAAGGTCGTGAAAATCGGTCCAGCTGTTCTTAAGTTGTAAGTGGTGTAACATACACGACTTTGTTTTATATATTAATTATAAATAATATCCTATCCACATTTCAGCTTGCCTCGTGTACATAAATTTCTACTAAACAATCTGGGTTGTTTATTTTTTCACTTTTTAAATATTAAATTTTGTGAAATGCCTCAAGGATATTCTCAAAAAAAATTCGTATCTTTAAAAATATAAGGGTTGATTTAGCCCCAATACTTCCCACCCAGGTCTGATGCAATTCTGTGTTCGGGTATTATTGAAGAAGTATTGGACCAGCTCTCCCACTATTTTCAAAGTCAGTTTTTTTTCTGTATTAGCTTACTTATAGTCCAGTCAAATAAGAAAAAATAAAAACATTAATCGGTAAAGACCTGAATTTTGGTATACATGTTCATTAGTGTTCCCCATTGAACATACTAAAAGTCCCCGTCAAAATCTGTTGCGCTCGAGGCACCATCTTGGAAGAAAGGAGCACTTGTTCAGTTTCTTGCCTATATATCGGCAACGATTATTGATACGGAAAAATAGCTCAGATAAAAAATATAGTTTATTAAATTTCCCATAAAAAAGCATATCTACATTTTGTTGTATGTCCAATACTTTAGCTATAATCGGACATCGAATAGGGAATCAAGTATCCTGAGCTCTCGAAACAGTCGCGCAGATATTTTTTTACAACCTTTACAAATCATTACATTTATTGAAAATTCTTCCAGTATTTCTTATATATGCGAAGTCGTCGCACTCAAGCTTAGTATGAGACACGTTTAAAGGTTTCTCATAAAACTCTCTCTTTCTCTAGAACTTTCATCTTCAATGTGAGCAGTTAAGCACTGAGTGTGGACTGGAAGCCTTCAGTGACCGAACAGGGTCAAGGAAATCGTGGACTCTCCTTCAACTCCACAGTTCGGGAGATTTTTCACATCCACGGAATTTCTGGACTTGCTGATTAATACGAAACGTGTGTTGCTGCGCCGCTGCAGCCGTAGGGTGTAACAGTGGTTAGATTCGGCTGACCCTTGTATGCGTATTTTCTGCAGGTCTGATAACGATGTCGGTTTAAATATCTCTCTCTCTCTCTCAGGCACGTTATATGCAGAGAACGGCGTTCTCCAGCTTCAGAAATCATTCCGTGGGTCCAACAAATTTACTCATTTTCGCTTACCTTTTTGAAAAAAAAACATGATGTCGTATCATGAAACATTATGTCATTGCTAGAATGCTTTATCGCAAGACGATTCTGTTCATGTTTTGGTACTTTTACAGCTTTCGGTGTAGTCATAAACAAGACGGTCTCCTTCCTATAACTACGATACGGGGCCTAAACGCGTTCTGACACATTCAACGTGAGATTACAGCTAAAGTATTGGAGATACAAAAAAATGTAAATACTCTTTTTTATAGGGAATTTAGTAAACTATATTTTTCATGTAAACTATTTCTTCGTATCAGTAATAGTTGCCGAGACATGGGCAAAAAAGTGGAAAAGTGTACCGTTTTTCCAAGATGGCGTCTCGAGCGCAGCAGATTTTGACAGGGACTTTTAGTATGTTCAATAGAAAGTCCCAATAAATGTGTATACCAAAATTCAGATCTTTACCGATTAATGTTTTTATTTGTCCAAAATTGCGCTAATTTGACTGGACTATTACGCGAAAGTAAAGTTCAATTCAGACAGTTTTGGTCTCAGATGGGACTGAGAAAGAAGTTTTCTTAATAGGATGGTCCTGATGTAGGATCAACAAAAGTAAAATTTTTCACGACACAACCCAGTAAGAAAAAATCTATTGCAAATGCGTTACTGCAACATCACATAGTGATGTGTGATGTTAGCTCTTTAGTTGCAATAACGTGTAGAGGATGTTACCGCAATGCCTTATGTCCGCGTCAGGGACGTTAGTTTTGTAACGTTTAAATGTTAACGTGTATGTAACGTTTGCAGTTGGCATCACAGACACATTACTTCAACGTTATTTATTTTACTTCTAGATATATTTTTGTTGATACTCTCCCTTACATTTTTAAATGTTTAAATATAGGAAAATGTTATTGCATACGCATGGAAACCAATTCCATCTGTTTCTGCCTCCGCACTTGACTATGATGATCATGACAAACACGTTTATTGGTTGTTAAACGTACCACGTTTCTTGATTATTACAATTAAAACGTTGCTCCTATGTGTATTGAGTCACGTTTAAACAACGGCAAAGACGAAAAACAAAAGCGTATGGCAGGAACATCACATTTTAACGTTCAATTATCAGTCACAATTAAAACGCCACAAAAAATTATGTCAAACGAACGCCATCTACTAAACGTTAAGAAGATGAATAACAAGAACTCGTTACATTCACGTTTAAAGAGTGATGTTATACTACTAACATGCGTTAAAAGTCACTATAGTGTACACGAATTAAATGTAGCTATCAAAACATTGGTTAAATGTTACGGCAATGTACCAACTTAATGTTTATAAACCCCTCTGTTGTGACGTTACAAAACGTCCATGTTACGTTCCTTTGTTACTGGACAGGGACATCACATTTTAACGTTCAATTAACAGTCACAATTACAACGTTACAACAAATTATGTCACACTAACGCCATCTACTAAACGTTAAGAAGATGATAACAAGAACTCGTTACATTCACGTTTAAAGAGTGATGTTATACTATTAACATGCGTTAAACGTCACTATAGTGTACACGATGTAAATGTAGCTATCAAAATGTTGTTTAAATGTTACAGCAATGTACCAACTTAATGTTTATAAAACCACTCTGTTGTGACGTTACGAAACGTCCATGTTATGTTCCTTTCTTACTGGGAATTACCTACATTGCATGTATAGTCGAAAAACCATTTTGGCGCGGAGTGTACAGCATTGCTTTCAAAATCAATACCAAACAGATTTATTATGGAATGATTGGGAGTTTGACCAATGGAATCAATACGTCCGTATCTAATTACTACATCAATATTTATAGCCAAAAGCAATGGTGATCAAGAAAGTTTGTCTCACATCGACGGGGAAATGAATTTTCTTAATTAAATTTGATTTGTAAGGTCAAAAGGTGAAATTTTCATGAGCCAGTCTAAATACATCATTGTAGCTAAAAGTCATTTTTTAATAACATTCTGTTGTCATGATCAACCAATCACATCACAAGTTGCTTTTGAATCGTAAATTGCAGTTATTATAACATTTTTTTTATATAGCTTTAAGAAGTTAATAGTTGCCCATAACTAGTTTGCCCGATTTTTTGAGTTTACCTACCTATTAAAACTGACATTTACTATTATATCTTTTACAAATACATTCTGATCGGAATTTGAATCAGAGAGCATTCTTAATTTTCACAGCCACTTATGAATCTAGATAAACTAGGCGGAACTAATTGCAGAAGTATTATAAATCACAAAATTACACGCTTAATGTATTAGATTCTCAGGCAGTGACAAGTGACGACAAGTAGTTTACATTGCACTTGCAGTTTAGAAATTTAACCTAAAATTAAGGGCGAGTTTTTTTCTAGAACAGTTCCCTATTTTGACTTGGAGGGCTTCACTTTGGATTTGACTAAACACAAGCGAACGGAACTTATAGAATAATCGTCCAGTTTGAATCAACTATAAGGACGAACCTGAAATGTATAATTAACAGGCGTTTTTTCTCTCTTTCAGAAAATGCTCATTGTCAACCAATCATCACATGAAGAAATATCGCACCACGACGATGTCCCGCCGCTCCCACCAAGGGGAGTTGTCATTTTTTCACCTATTCCCAGCGTGGCTAAGCCTCAAGGTAAAACATTCTCACACTATAATTATGATACACACGACTGTTGCATTGTTACATTCTCGAGGCTAATAAATTTATTGTGGTGCCGTGCTCCACACGCGAGTTTCGGTCCCTGGGACTCCTGCTATTGTGTCAACTGGACGAGGCATTTCCAACGTAATTTCGATGACCCTCTTTGTAATTCCACCACTTGATGTATGGGTTTATGTTGATGGACAATCCTACATCTTTTGGTGAGGAATTCTGAAGTGAGAGTCGGTACGATATAAAACGAAATTATACGATTATTCTTCGTGTGCATTATACGTAACATGAAGCCGGTGTTTTAACTCTCCTACCTGTTGGTAAACGCCAGGTGTAAAAGAAACGGTTGGGTTTTTAACGAAGTGCGCTTTTGACGAGATAAATTCGAAGTTATAATGTGCTCGTGTGGTTACAAAGTTACATAAATGTTAGTTCTCTACCCAAGGAGTTTGAACGCTTAAAAAACTGGATCAAAACTTTATACAAACATCCGGTAAGTCTAAGAGTTAAGTGCGATGTTAAGATATGCGCGCCCATATTTCCAATTGGCGCAGTGAAATCGATGGGGAAATTCAGTTTAGTTGAACCATTTTGCTTAAAATCCGGGCGGAAATGCACAGGAAGATCTCATGTGAACCCATGTGAACTGTGAACAAAGAAACTATGTGCGAACAAATTGTAGGTAGCCAAATCCGTTACGTCTTTCGCTCTTAATTAAACATTCCCTGTATGCAAAACAGTTAACTACACTCAAATAAACCATAACAAATTATGAAACCATGGAAAAGTGTAACGAACTGCAAGTAAAACATGCTTTAGATGCGTATCCTGCCTTTTTCATTGCTGCAGGAAGTTTCACTTTTAATCGTCCACTTCGTTTTCGATCAGTTCAGTAGTTGGAAACTGGTTTACATATATTACTTACAGCGTCTAAACAGTTAAATTTGTGGATCCTTACTTTTCCTTGTGTGTGAATTGTTCACATGGTAAACAAATCTCAGTTATTATTCAAATTCGTATGCAGGAAAAAAAAGTCATTTAAATTCAGATTTGGACACATTCCTCAGGCGATAGTGACACTTCCTCATTATTCTTTCCACATTCACTATCACTTTTAGAGGATACGAGTAGTCGGCGTCAATATCGGATTATTAGGTTTTAACGATTGTGAAAGAATGATATCTCGAATGATATGTATAGTGTACTCGTAGGGAACACTTGTATTTAATTGAACATTTTGGCTTATATTTACTGTAGGAATTAAAGCAAAAATATGAGTACGTGCTGTAACAGAACTTCCCTCTTTCATTTTTATTTATTTTTATTTATTTTTGTTGCATACCTACTTCTGGTGCCAAAGCTCTCTAAATTTAATACGTATGTATGATATGTGAAATGAAAATTCCTTTATGCAAATGACAAAAGCGGAATGTTGCAGTATTCGAATAACAATAAAATCGATTCCGCACTTTGGAACCCCATATTTTTGATGTCTAAAAGTTGCGGTACTCAAAAATGGCTTGTGTTGCAAAAATTGGTTATCAATTTTAACTACGATATTGGTGTAGAAACTGGGAAAATACTATTTACTATTTGGATCTTTTACTTGGGAATATAAGCAGCTGTCTAATATGTGACAAACCACAAGCGCCTGTCGAGCAATTGAAAATAATCGCCTTCGCTTGAAATCCCCATTGCATTTTAAAAGCACCGATTTTTTCACAAAACAGTATAACTTTCCTCTACTGTATCATTCCCGAGACTCGCCCTTTTTTTCGAAATGTTGTAAGGAGCTTCTCCAATCACACTCGTATTTTTTTTCAATAAGTAAGATTGCGGCATAGTTTTATTCCTAAGCCATAATTTGCGTGTATTCTACCCGTGAGTTTTTCCAGGTTTTTTGATACTGGAATGCACTGGAGAATAAAACTGAAATCTCAGATGTCTTGTATGTACAAAATGTGACCGAATTTAATGGTATCTAGTGAAGTTTTGTTGAGTTGAATCGGTAAACTACTTCAACCTTCTTCCCTAACAAAAGCTAACTCTGCTGAGGATGACATTGATCCTTCTTCAAGTGTACAGCCTATTGTTTTTCGTTCAAAATTGTATTGGTGGATCCATCATTGTTTGGGATGTAGATTATTCCAATTATTGTATTTGTCTTTCCCAAAAAGTATACATGTAAGACAAAAATAAAAACTGTTTGGGTAAGGCAAATATAATAATCGGAATAATTCCTTCAAAATGCTCGCTTATTAGCTGTTCTGCCAAGAAGTAAGCAGCTCTTTTTTGTTTTCATCTACTCGTAAACATTTTTTATATTTCTGTGGAATTATTGTGGAAGGTGTAGTTCTTATGTGCACTCATGCTCCTCTTGACTGGCGCTTGTGAGCTTCTAATGATTCATTGATATATCTATTAAACACTAAATTAATTCGCTGTAATTTGGGAATAGCCAAAAAATGTAGTGTTCTATTTGATGCCATTTTCTTTGTTATCTCCACTTTTTGATACTATAAGAAAATTATATTCTCTATTGAAGAAGATGAAAATAAAAAACTCCAAAAACAATTTCAGCAGCATTGTAAATATTGATAATTTGTTTAAATTTTGGAAATTTGTCAAGAACTGATTACAAGTACAAGAGAAACTAATAGTTATTTGTAGAACTAGTTTTGAAAGTGATACTTTTTTTCATGAATTTGCAGGTTGATTAATGAGGGCGAAGCCCGAGTTAATCAAGCAAATTCATGGAAAAAAGACACTTTCAACACGTGTTGTACACGAAATTTTTTTGCATAGTGATCCATAATAACCCACATCACCGATAGAGGAGTGCTGTACCGATCTGTACCGATAACAAATTGCTTTTTGTTTAATCGATTTAAACGCAAATGTGTACAAATAAAATTTGTGCAAAAAAACTACTTAATTCCTCCAGTTTAATAAACTGTGGAAGTTCTGATTCTAGCGTGTATAGTTTTTCCAGTTATTTGAAAGAACTTCAAGCACTTTCCAAGGGCTGGTGCTTTATATTTTAAATTATTGGGCTTCAAGCACGTTTAATGACTGCAATCATTTCACATGACTTCAAGCACTTTCTAAACGCTCCAGCACTTTACATGGCTTCAAGCACTTTCCAAGGGCTTGGTGCTTTATATTTTCAATTAATTTAGAAAGTTTATGGTAATTACAAGCTCTATCATTACATACAAGTGCTTGGGGCTTGCAAGCCCTTTTATCACAACAAAGTGTTCGGCTTTAACCCCTTTTCAAGAGGGCTTTACCCAGCTCATTGCATAGAATAAATTATAGGACAAATAAATGGTTGTAGTTTGTGGGTTTAATGCCGCTGACAAATTTAAAATTGAACAGCAACCAATGAAATGTCATGAATTTCATCAAGATTTTATGGGTTTCGTCCAAATCTCATGGTTTTCCTTTTCACCAATATTTATACATGTCATCCCTCGATTGAATTGCACCCCCCACTTTATAGCGACGCGGGAAACAGTTTTGCTTATAACCACTCAAAGGCTATGCATAGTAGGTAAATTTCACAAAACTCTAGCCATTTCCCGACTAGAACCACAACTTGTCATTTTCACTAACCTCCAGATATCAAATTTCGTAAATCTTTTGAAAATTAAATGTATTAGGAGTCACTAATTATGATCTTATTTAGTAATTTGTAAAACGTTTTAAAACCTACACTATAAAACTATTTGAGGTACAATTAAAATTAGGCTTTAGTCAATGGTCAATATAGATCCCTCATCTATGATAAATTCCATTCCATGTTAAATAAAGAGGCGACAAGTTGTCATTATTAAATGGGGTATCCTTCGACGAAAACAGTTTACCAAAATTCAAACATTTCGGTAAATAACACAAAAAGCAATCTTTTGCATTTTCACAAATCTTAATTTTAATATTTTCCTTAGTTACACACTACCGTGTATATAAAAGAAATGCAACACATCCTAAATTTTGAAATTGATCCCGTGAGAAAAAACATATGTTTCTTAAGATACAAATTACTACACGCTGGGTATAAAATGCTGGTCTATCAGTAACAGAGATTGCTCCGTTATGGTGCTACAGCAGTCAACCACGATTTAAATATCCATCAAAGGACCATTATGCAATCGACATGTCCTTAATTGATCGACAACTATAAAGAATCTACACCACAAAGTAACGTAAATTTTCTTATCTAATTTCTTCCTTTTTGGATGACATTTTTTGCTCTCACATGCCGTTTGGTAACGGTTGATTCATTTCGTGTTTTACATTCCTTCGAGGTGCCGTGAAAAATTCATCGGCACATCTTTGCCGTGGAAAGGGAATGTCTATATTTATTCTGTACGATTAAAACACGCCGATTTCGTAATTAAATGGAACTAATATGCGTGCGTTTACGCATCTCTGCACAGTATTTAAAAAAAACCCGACCGATAAATATGCGTGAAAATTAACTAGATTAATATTCTAATCAATTTTAAAACTGATTGAGTTGATTTTAATTAGGCAGTCGAAAGTTGCTCGCGGCAAGGTGTTTAATGATGAATAGTCATTTATTTTAAGTTTGGAGAGGCAATATTGAAAAATAATTGAATTATATTCGGACACTGTAGATCAACCACACATTAAAACGTGACACCAAGACAGGTAAAGGCGGTGTACTAGCACAATTTTTTTTAAAGATCGGTTCCGTTTTCTCGCGTTTTTAAATTATCTCATTTTAATGATTGGAGCAATTTGGCTTGCGAAAGATTGTTTTTTTCTACAAACATTTACAATTGACTTTATGTGCCATTGTTGTAGCAGCAATAAAAAAATAATAATAAAGTAAAAATGACATCTTGAATGTAGGCACCTTTTTAGTTATTATTAATTCGCGTCTGCAACACCATATGGTAAACCATAAAATCCATACAATAACAAGTGGAAATAAAATTCTATTGAAATCATTAAAAAGCTTTCCACATGTAATTTGTTTAATATTTCGGACGGTTTTTTATCGACAATTATTCACTTTTACTTTCTCTTTGATATGCCTGCTGTATATCAATACCAGATCTGTCGCATATATACCGATTTTGTCACTTTTTAATATTATTTTATCTGTCATTGGGGACATAGGTATTACATTGTAGTATTATACGGCATTGAATTGGATATTAAAAAAGTATCTGTGTTTTCCTTAATTGCTGTCGTAGATCCTATGAAAAAAATTAAATAAACATAGAAGAAGTATTTAAATTGATGCTACCCATTTGCATATGATTAACAATTTTACTATGAGATAAACAAATGAATATCTAATTGAAATCGGGTGAAGATGCTAGTCGCTAGTTGCATAAGCATATACCTACTGTGCATCCCAAAAAATTCGTATCTCTTTTCCTAGTGCGTTTTTACAGAAAAAATGTCAACAGTCGTAAATAGTTCCTAATGAAATCTGTCCGCTATTAAATTTTTGCTGAT